CTTGATCCAGTAGCTTTGTGACAGTAACGTACATACTGTACAATCTAAAACAGAGCACAACCTCCTCAAACCCCAAACAGAAATCCACACTCGTGAAATGAGGCCCAGATGGATCTGCCCTGTCCAGCTTCAGCAGAGTTTCTCAAATATGATGAATGCATGACACTTTTCCCATGACATATTGTGTTGTTTAATCACCCTATGGTAAAATTTCATTCCTGATGTTTTTTTCTTTTAATAATCTTGCAAGCATAGACAAAAACCAGAGCTAAAAGGGACAATGAAGAACAGATTTGGCCCAGCAGGATACAGACCACAGAATCTGATTGCTTTGATTCTGAAAATGCAATGGGCTTTATTGCTGTCATTAGTGGTGCTTGCTTGAGATATGTCAAAGCCCCTTATTTTAAGTATTAAACTTTGGTGTGTAACTGCTCCCTCACCGATCATGCTGCCTACATGAATGATATTTCAAATCATGCAGCTTATTGAGGAGAGATTTGCTGTTACTTTTTGAAGTTCTCAGATATATAATTTTTACAGCACGCTCATGGCAGTTTGTAACTATTTTACATTTTGGCAAATTGGTGCCTAATATAGTTATAGTTTTAAACTGTGCTTATGTGACCATTTTATTTTTTTCCTTGAATTTAAGGATATTGACATATTTTACTGTGTCCAGGTACTTTTTGGTTTCCTGTGGTGCAGTGGCTTTTTGAATTAGGTCTTGGAATATATAGTGACTGAAAGATGCGTCGCCTACAATGATTGGTCACTAATGTTCTTGCCGTCCTATAAACGGAGGGCAGATTGCAACCGATGTTTTGAAGTCAGTCTCATTCACATGTGCGATACAAGCTGTACCAAACCATTCTGGATCAGATGATGACAGATTCATTGATAGAAATGTACTGAACTGAATCATCAAGGCTTGCAGCAGTTTAATCTTTGAAAATCACTGCCACTATCACTGTGTCTTTCATCTCTTGTATGTGTTTGCTACTTAAGGTCCTAGGAAATGATGGTTATCAGGAACCTAAAGGACTCAGTAGATTATAGTCACACAGGTGTAATTATCCTTTGTTGTCGTCTTGTCCTATTTTCTTTTCGTCTGTGCAGTGGATTGAGCGCAGCATGTGTACCCAGCATTACATTGATTAGTATTCACTCTCTACAGCAATAAACAACTCTCCTAAATAGGAATATACAACAGTTTCTTAGGTCTCTACATCTGGGTTTGCATTTGTATCCATTTATAGATATGGAGCATTTAAAAGCCGTATTGCTCCATTTGACATATTAAATTTTTATGAAAACTGGTTTTGACGAAGCTGTGGGGATAAGAAAGGGACAAACGTGCAGAATGGTTCACACGACTGCTGCACTATTGCAGACTCAACCTCTTTATCTACAGGAAAAATCTTTTTCCTCTGAGACGTGTGGTTTCCCCAAACTGCTGTTGCCTAGGGCAAATCCTGATTGCAGTACATGCACTTTTTTTATGCAGGAAGATTTAGACTAACAGTGTCTATCAATCTTGGCATTAACCAATGTAAACAAACCGATTTTTTCAAACCGAGAAAATCCTATAAAATTTTGTCTGCTATTTTTCTAAGCATTAAAAGCATTCGCTAAAATGATTTAACAGTGTCATGTTTTACATAATCTGAATGTTAAGGTAGAAGTGGTTTGTATGTTTTGTATTTTACTTTAAGTTGTTCCGTTCTTTTCTATTTATTTTCAAATAGAGGTGAAAATGTGTAGGGGGTCAAGGATTTGGTATAGCACATGATTCAAAAAGATACATTTTTGATTGCAGCAAAAAGTCAGGGGTGATTTGTCTAAATTCACCAGCAAAATACAGTTCAAGGCAGTGTTGATAAGATTTTTTTTTTTTATGTTTTTAAAATAAATCTCGTATGCTAACCTAGGCTGCACTTATTGGATCAAAATACTTTAAAATGGTAATATTATGAAAAATTATTACAATTTTATAACTGATAACTGTAAATGTAATTTATTCCTTTGAAATATTCGTACAAAAGAACAATTCAAAACACAACCTAGTAAGCAATGCATGTGATTTTATGCAAATTGCAGAGCACTGCATTGGATCATTGGCAGGTTGATTGATTCACAGTTAAATATAATCTTGATTGTAATATAAAAACATAAATTTAGTTTGGTCTTGGAAATCACATTAAATGGATAGCTCACCCAAAAAAATGTTTTTATCATGTACTCACCCACAAGTTCTTCCAAACCTGTATGAATTGCTTTCTTCTGTTGAACAGAAAAATAAGATATTTTGAAGAATGTTGGTAACCAAACAGTTGACGGTAGCCATTGTATTTACTTTCATAGTATGGAAAAAATAAATGCTATGGAAGTCAATGGCTACCATCCGCTGTACATCAATTAAAGAAATATTCTTCATATATTCTTTTGTGTTCAGCAGAAGGAACTTGTACAAGTTCAGAACAGCTTGAGGGTGAGTAAATTAAAAGCATTTTCATTTTTCAGTGAAAGATATGACATGGTATGTAGGAAACATACCTATTTACACCACAGCATGTCTTTATATTCTGTCGGTATTTCTTTATATTCATGCACTTGTTTGCTAGCCTCTATGTAGCTTGTGCGTTTATTTTTATGCTCCTGCGCTGCCTGCTCTCAGTGCCACATTAGCACTGCTGCAGTTCTCTTGTCATTTTGACATCAGTGGAAAGCAGTTACCAGAAATAATGTATTCAGATATAACATTTAAATGGTGTTAAAGCGCTCCCTCGACCAAAACAGAGTTGTTTCGAGTCAGCTAGCCGCCTTTAACTGTACATTGAAGATACCCTGTTGAAAACACAGTATATAGCTGGTGACCAGCGTGTGTTGGGGTTCCCACCAGCCTTTTTAATCAGTTAACTTCCTTGTTCTAACATTATCATCATGTTGGAAATGCATGCTGGTCTAACCTGGTCTTTTCAATAGGGTACTGTGGATGATGGTGCAATCATAGGTAGTGCTAATCAGTGGTTTTAATGATATGTGTTCCCCTTGTCAAGGCTCATAGCGAGAGTGACATCATAATTATTATTCTCAGTGTAACTCATTATTAATTCAAATTGCTTGAATTGGTTATGCATGATTGTATTTGTAATTTCACTAACATGGCAAAATAAAGAAAGTTTATTTTGTGGATTCCTGTGGATTCCAGTCAAAAGCATATAGCGAAAAAGCATCCTCCATTTGAAAGAAACATGTTTGTGTGTGAACTCTGAATTTGTGTTCTCAGTGCAAAAACAATGTTCAGCTTCTAAAACGATGCTAAATAATCATAGTTCCATTGTTAAATAAATATTTATTTATTGCACCAGTAACCCAACCAGACATGTTTCTCAGGACATTTATTTCTCCCTGCTTTTAAATTCAGCTGCTCGTCTTTGCAATAGAGACCAATCAGCATTCTGAGGTGCCAATAAAAAACAACTTTACTGTCCAATGCGGTTTGGGTTTGTCCAGCAGAAATATTTTAATCAATATGTATGAACGGTTAATCAGTGGCCAAACTGGCTGTGGCAAAGACTGACCCAAGTAAACAGTGGAAAGTGCAACACTTCTCTCAGTCCATGCAATCTAAAACGGATTTATTTTCAGCTGGCACACTCCTTACTGCACCTGACAGGGCATTAAGTGTATGGGGCAGGATGTTGCCCCTAAAAGAAGCCAGCCATGTCAGTGTTAGTCAGAAACAGTGGAAACAAATATTTAGTGCAATGGAAATTCAAGGGCATGAGAAACATGAAAAGAATGATAAGCAATTATAAGCTAGACCAATCAGCATTCTGAGGTGCCAATAAAAAACAACTTTACTGTCCAATGCGGTTTGGGTTTGTCCAGCAGAAATATTTTAATCAATATGTATGAACGGTTAATCAGTGGCCAAACTGGCTGTGGCAAAGACTGACCCAAGTAAACAGTGGAAAGTGCAACACTTCTCTCAGTCCATGCAATCTAAAACGGATTTATTTTCAGCTGGCACACTCCTTACTGCACCTGACAGGGCATTAAGTGTATGGGGCAGGATGTTGCCCCTAAAAGAAGCCAGCCATGTCAGTGTTAGTCAGAAACAGTGGAAACAAATATTTAGTGCAATGGAAATTCAAGGGCATGAGAAACATGAAAAGAATGATAAGCAATTATAAGCTTTTTTTTTTGGATTCCATTAATTTACTAACCCTTAGGCCATTCAAGCTGTAGATGAGTTTGTTTCTTTATCTGAATAGATGTGGAGAAATTTAGCGTTACATTACATCACTTGCTCACCAAAATGGATCCTCTGCAGTGAATGGGTGCCATCAGAATGAGAGTCCAAACAGCTGATAAAAACATCACAATAATCCACATGTAATCCACACAACTCCAGTCCATCAGTTAACGTCTTGTCAAGTGAAAATCTGTGTCTTTTTAATAAACAAACTTATCATTAAGATGTCTTTAACTTCAGGATTTTTGGTTTTAATCAGCTGTTTGGACTCTCATTCTGAAGGCACCCATTCACTGCACAATGAAGAAACAAAGCTTTGTCTATTTTCATTATTTATTTATTTATATTTTTGAAAGGTGGTTTCTACATAGGTAAGTGTTTGAACTGTTCCACCATTATTGCTCAGGACAAGAAGATAGGCTAAAGTTCATTTGACACACTGAACCTGTTATTGGGGCATGTTGTCACAATATCTGGGGTAAGTTGCCACAATGGGAATCTGCAGCTAGCTAAAATTGCTTTTGACAACTAAACCCTGTCTCTCCTACTGGGCCGCACATTAGCTGTTTATTGTTTCTATAAATATCATCATGGTAAAATACATTCAATATTCCAGCACAGCACCATGGCACTCAGTGGCAGAAATGTGTAAGTGCAGGCCAGGACAAATCCACCCAGTGCGCCCTCATATAACCGTGTTCGCTTTGAGATTTGAGCAGACAGAGCTGCTGTTTCCGAGCACTCATAGAAGAAAGTCAACGCTATACATCAGTGATACCTTCATTTCAAACCAAAGACATACAGAATGGACCTCTCTCGAAATACATTTAGGGTAAGTGTTTTTTTAAACTCTAATTGTCACAATAGTTTGAATATTTGAAATGAACTATTTGAATGCATATTATATAGCCAACTGGTATTGGTATTTAAAATTACAATTAAACACGGTTAATGTATTGTTTATTATAGGTTATGCTCTGTGAAAAAAGAATAAACGCTGATTAAAGGGACTTGCAAAAAAGGAAATCAAAAGAAAAAGCTGTTTTTTTAATTAAGTATACTGTTTACAAATATGCAATTTTTAATTGGGGGGTTCAAATATTTCATTAACCACGAAAGTTAGTCAAGGCGCAAAATAGACGCAAGCGAACAGTAATCGCGTTCGAAGAGGTAACCATAGCAACAGATCATTGAAAAAAACTTGAACACTGGTGTTATTATAACTTTTCATATTGCAAATATATCACGTACAAACTAGTGATAAATAGATTACGCAAGACGAACCTCAAAAAATGCGTTTTGAAAATTAGTGAAACGAAAGAACCGTCTTGAAATTCTTTCATTTTTATTTTGCAGTGAACTGGACCTAATTTTTTTAATCATCAACATATGGTGCTAAATGCACATCCTAACGGCATCTTTCCACACGTGTGTAACTATATATAGCGCTTGAGTGCCGCCACAACAGCGCGCTCAGACGCGCATTTTACGCACAATGGAGAGCCTGCTGAAAGAAACTATTGTCTGGCCCTTCAACGACTCCTGGGCAAATTCAAGCAAGGGAAACGACAGCGGAGGATTGAACCAAACCGTAAACCCTCTGAAGCGCAACGAAGAAGTGGCGAAAGTCGAAGTAACCGTCCTGGTGTTGATTTTGCTGCTGGCGCTCTCCGGCAACCTGTGCGTCCTTGTGGCTATCCAGACGAGTAAACACGTTCAGTCGCGGATGTACTATTTTATGAAACACTTGAGCATAGCTGACCTGGTGGTGGCGGTTTTTCAAGTTCTCCCTCAACTTATCTGGGACATCACCTTTCGCTTTTATGGACCAGACTTTTTGTGCCGCCTGGTGAAGTACCTACAGGTGGTTGGCATGTTTGCATCCACTTACATGCTCGTGCTGATGTCTATCGACAGATGTTTGGCTATATGGCAGCCTCTGCGTTCCCTGCGCCGTCGAAAGGACCGTTTTTTCGTGCTGGCCTCTTGGATTATAAGCCTGCTCTTCAGTTTGCCACAGGTGTACATCTTCTCCCTCAGAGAGGTGGGCGACGGGGTCTTCGACTGCTGGGGGGATTTTGTTCAGCCCTGGGGCGCAAAGGCTTACGTTACGTGGATTAGTCTCACAATCTACATCATTCCTGTAGCCATTTTAAGCGTTTGTTATGGACTTATAAGTTATAAAATATGGCAAAACTTTAAGCTGAAGACGCGGCGCGACCAGTGTCTGTCCTTGACCCCGCGGCCAGCCAAGGGCACCGCGCTCTCCCGCGTCAGCAGCGTCAAGTTGATCTCCAAAGCTAAGATCAGGACGGTGAAAATGACGTTTGTGATCGTCCTGGCTTATATCATATGCTGGACGCCGTTTTTCTTCGTACAGATGTGGTCCGCCTGGGATCCAATGGCTCCAAGAGAAGGTAATACAGGATTTTAAAGATTTGTAGATGAGTGTGCCATAACATGTGTAGCCTATAATAAACATTTTTAATTCCTTTAAGTTTTCAAGCAACATTTTTCACAAAAGAAATGTATTGTTACTTGATATTATTGGTTGATATTTGGCTATTAAATATTAATTGATATTAAAGTATAATAAAGAATCCTTAAATGGTTCTAAAAAGAACCATCTAACTTGGATTCAAAGAACCATTTTGGGTTCTTTTTAATGAACCCATTAAAATGGTTCTATATAGAACCATATTATAGGGTTCCATATATGAAGCGGGTGATAGAACCATTTCTTTAAGAGTCTTGTGTAATTTACCTTAATCCAGCCATAGATAAAATTGTACCTAAATCATTTTATGCTCTCCATTCTTTTGGTGTTCCTCTATAGTTATCTCTTTTTAAATTTATATACATTGTGCTCTAAAACCCACTGATTGTTGCATAAACCCCAAAACATTTCTCAGAGTAAAATACAGACGGGCAAATAAAACGAGAGTCTGAATAGCAGTTCAGACACCCTCAGGTAGTTTTGGTAAAGTAAATGTAGCATGACATCAAACGGTTCCTCTTTATCCTGTCTTGATCCTAAGGAGTGTCATTTCCGTGTAATTTCATAACATAATTTGTGAGGGGGTCCTGTGCTGTTATCCAACCCACAAGGCCCAAATGAAGACAACTGCAAGGAATCCATCTACTACACATTTCCTTTCCCACCCCTGCTCATTATTACTCCTCCACAATAAAAGGGGTGCAATTAAGGTTACTTCATCAAGATAAATGCTACATGTGTATACAGTGGGCTGCAAAAGACAGAAACCACACTGAGAATTTGGATTCAACATTTATTTTGAACTTAAAACCTAGAAAAAAAAGTTATTTGGAAAAAATAAAATAAAACAAAAAAACTATTTATAATTGAATGGATGATAGAAACGCACAATAGATTTTTAGACACAATTTCCACTAGTGGTCTTACACTTTTTGATGTCACTGTAATTTACAAGTAAATAGTACAGATATTTCAAACCCTGTTTAATCAAACAAATGAGAGACTATCCATGGTCTGGACTTTAACCTTATGAAAAATATTATATAATGACCATCATAGCTGAAACACAATGATCTAATATATTAGAGCAATAAGTTTGAAATAATCAAATTCAATATAATTGGAGTTTCAGCAATAAGGCATTGAAAAGACAATAGAGATCAAATTAGATATTAAAATCTCACGTCAAGCAGTTAATTCAAAAATGAACATTTTATAATTTCTTATGTCTTTTAAAATTTGTATTTTTTTTCTGTGGAAAACAAAAGTATTTTTATTAAGAATCTGCATGCAACTCTTTTCCCTAATGACAGGTCATAGTGACCATGGTTTCAAGCTGCAAAATGGAGCAATTTTCATTTTTGTGAACAATTCTTTTAATATACCAAGATGCACACTATCAGTCCATCATGTATTCATACTTATTTTAGAGACAGAGACTGTTCTTAGAGACAGCTCTAGCTCTTGTCATTAAGGATTTTTTGTTTTTGGAAAATGACCCTTGACCCGACAGGAAGTGGCATCCTGCTGTCTCTGTTTCAATGAGGATTTTCAGAATATTGACCGAGGAATGAATACACAGATTTAAATGACCATAGTTTCGTAGGACATTTCAATTTACTGGCCAGTAGCACTATGAAAACTTATGAAGAATTATTGTAGGATCATGTTTTTTAAATCCCTCTTGAGATTTATCAAGAAACTGTATTAAAATGTTTACTCTTTACATCTTTTTTTGTATAATTTTTAACAATGTAGTGACATAATAGTAATAGACCTGCCTAAGGAAGTAATATCTATCTATCTATCTATCTATCTATCTATCTATCTATCTATCTATCTATCTATCTGTCTATCTATCTATCTATCTATCTATCTATCTATCTATCTATCTATCTATCTATCTATCTATCTATCTATCTATCTATCTTCAGTGTTCGAACTATACCGTGGACTTTGGGGGAGCCCACTTGTTTTTTTTTTAATATAACAAGGGGGTGGGGTGTTCGTGCACTTGCGCGTGCTTCAAAAGAGGACTTACAATGACAGTTCCCACCTTTGCACCATAAGCTCCTGAAGCTTCATTAAAGGGGTGAGCTTTCTGTAAGACAGCCTTTCCTTAGCCACCATATACACTCTTAAAAATAACTTCACGATGCCATAGAAGATCCTTTTTGTCTAAATAGTTATATAAAGAACCTTTAACATCTGAAGAACCTTTCTGTTTCACAAAAGGTTCTTTGTGGTGAAAGAAGGTTCTTCAGATTATAAAAAGGTAAGAAAGAGATGGTTCTTTAAAGAACATTTGACTGAATGGTTCTTTGTGGAACCAAAAATGGTTCTTCTATGGCATCGCTTGAAGAACCTTTTGAAGCACCTTTATTTTTAAGAGTGTAGGTGGACCTGAATGATGTTGCGGTCTCCTCCATTAATTTGTAATTCACCTCAATTACTTTATTTGGCACAATTGCCTTTTGGTTAGTCAATGCCACTTTAATGGCCCTCTTGTATGGGATGATATTAGACTCAAAATGATTAATAGATGCACACACAATTATCCATGTACTGCATACATTTTATACATGTATCTTACTCACCACAAACAAATACCTTTCAATTTGAGACTGAGGAATTCAGGATTAAATGATTGTGCAGCGATTTTTACAAATGCAGACATGTTTGCGAATAAAAATGTTCTGTTCTGCATTAATATATCATAAATTGCTCATACAAAAAGGAATCTGGGCATATGTGGATCAGGTGACATGCGTGCATTAATTGATGTCTAGTTCGAGTCGATCTTGTTCGGTTCATTTGGATTTTGAGACTTCATTTTCGCAGTTTACAGCATTTCACGTCCCCCACACACACAACTACCAATGAACAAGGCCCAGTGCAATTCATTAACGTGTACACGATTTGAAAAATTCTCAAATGTGCATCACTACACTGAAACAAATGCTTTTCAACCGGTGTCTGCAGAGTTAAGAATTACATTAATGTGATCATGATACTTTAATACAAACTATAACATTTCTATTCACAAATATGTCTCTATTTGAACAAAATGCTGCACATTAATGTAATTCTTAACTCTGCATATAACTATTTTCTATTTTAATATATTTAAAAATGTAATTTAAAAAATGCATCTGTGATCAAAGCTGAATTTTCATCAGCACCAGTCTTCAGTGTCACATGATCCTTCAGAACTCATTCTAATATAATTTGCTGCTCAAGAAACATTTATTATTATTGCTGCTTCATATTTGTGTGGAAACCGTGATGCATTTTTCAGAATTAATTTTATATATAGTAACAATGTTATGTAGGCTAATGTAATAATGTGGCAATGGTTTCTTAAGATCTACTTATGCTTCTGATGCTTTTGGGAAACGCAGCCCTATTTGAACAAGCACTGTGAGTCATGCGTCAGCAGCGAACGCTCTGTGATTCATTGGTTCTGTCTTTCAGCATTTGCGTGTGTTCCGATGAGCTGGAGAAATGGTTTTATCCAACACAATTATTCGCTAATATACTTAAAAGCTTTTTTATGCACCGAATTTCTTGATAAATAAAT